AGGTTCCAGAAGGCCCCTGACCACACTAAAGTCTTCTGGATCTGCCCAGAGTCGTGGCTGGGTGCCAGGTGGCACTGTGGCTGTGGCTGCAGAATGTTCCAGATGGTCCTGGCAGGGTGATTCTGATGTGTGTGAGTAGCCTGCCACACACCAGGGACAAGGTGAGGCATCTGCTTTCCAGTGACTGGAGTTCCAGTTTCTCCAGAATCTTTGCAAGTCTCTCTCGTCTGCCCCACACACCATCCCCAGTCACTGAAAAACTCCATCTATGCCACCCAGTGGGGCTGTTCTTAAAGATCAAGGGAACTAAATCACCCAGGGAGCTGAGTCCCATGGCCTAGATGGGTTGTTTAAAGGGCAGAGGCCAGGAGTGACATTTCCTACATTTTCACAGGCCAGGAGGTAGGCCTGTGGTCTGCTTTGAACCAGCAGCATTCCATCCTGGTGCTGCTGTGTTCCTGGACCGTGCAGGTTTCCTTCTGTGTGTGGGGGGGGGCTGCTGAGGGGTATGGTATTACTGTCCTTAGAGGAGAGATGCATCTAGAAGGTACCAGAGGTCCCATCTAGCACTTGGGACTCATTGCCTGGTGATTTAATGTCCTTGATTTTCAAGAATGACCTTACTGGGAAGGACCAAGGGCCATGTGACTCAAGGTGCTGTCTGTCAATGACTCAGGACTGTTTGGGGAACAGGGAATTCCAGAGGTTCTGGACAAAATGACTCAGTTTAAATGTGTTCTAAGCAGTGGTAGTTCACTGCAGAAGCCTGCTCAATTCCTAATATACTCCTCAGCATCTAGAGGCAGTAAAGAGGACAGTAGGCACTAACACTTTTTGAAGCAAGGAGTGGTGGTACACGCCTATAATCCCAGCACTTGGGAGGCTGAGTCAGAAGGGTCACTTTTCATTCGAGTCCAGCCTGGGCTGCATAGTGAAACCCTGTCTCAAAAAATAGCAACAAAAACAACAATACAAAGAAGCAAAACTTTTTAGCACTGACTACGTACAAGGCCCTTCACATATGCTGTCAATTCACCCCAAATCTGAGGGACCTTTTGGTGCACATGGTATGCAATTCAGAGAGGCCTTCTGTTGGCTAAAGTCACACAGCTAATGGGTGGCAGGTCTGGGACTGGACTCACACATGGACTCTTTCTCCTCCAATCTGTGCCATCCATATCACCAACTGCGATTCCAACCAAAAGCAGCCAGCACAGCCTTCTCCTGGGACCCACACTGGGTATGGTGAGAAGTGGGAATGGGAGGCCAGGAGGGGCCACAAAAGAGGTGGGAAAGGATGCAGATCCAGCCACGTGTCATGTCTGGGTGTTTCTGGGGTCACAAGCATGTGGCTGTGACTCTCAGGTCAGAAGGGATTATGGTTGCCTCAAAAAATACACCACAGATGTACTGGGGACCTGGAACACTGCTATCTGGCCAGGTCCCCCAGCCCTGAGGAGTGCAGAGCTCTCCCACTCTGGTCTGTCAGCTGTGAAGGCTCCCCTGGGCCAACCTGTGGTCTTCCAGCAGGGGTTTTGAGGGCAGTCTGTCCTCCACTGGGCCTGCCTTCCAGGCCCAGGAACCTCCTCCCGCTGTGGCCCCTCTGTTGCCCTGTCTCAGGCCGCACTGGGAGGATCCGAGTTTTCCAGACCTCCCTCTCCAGGGTCATGTGTCACCTGTATCCCTTGAGTAGGCATGGTTCCCAATAATGCCCCAGTCCCTTGAAGGACCTGAATGCAAGCCAGTTCATTTAGGGACATTCCCAAATCTGAATAAGTATTCCATTTAATTTTTTTACATCTTTTTTTTTTTTTGGTACCGGAGATTGAACTCGGGTCCTTGCGCTTGCACAGCAGGCAACAAAACCACTGAGCTAAATCCCCGGCCCTTAAAGTCTTTTTTAACCAAGTTGCACATACAAGCCCATGGAGGGCTCGAAGCATCCTGAGCACTCTATTAATGAGGAGGGCCCTAGACCTTTTTCTTATTTTTTTTTAAGTTTTCTTCCTTTTTCTTATTTTTATATCTAAACAAATTTCAAGGAAAAATGTCCCTCCTGACCATGGTCAGATGGCACTGTTGATGGCTGATGGTTTTCAAATGAGGAAAACAAACTATTTTTGATCATTACAGGGAAAAAAGAAAAAAATTGTTTTCTTAGAAGAGTTGTAATAGAAAGGTAATTTAACCTCACCATCCTTAGCAACTAGAGAAGAATCGTCCATCTATTTACCACTTTAACGCTTTGTGGTTTGTTCCCGACTTTTCCTCCCCAACGGTTCTCTTAGGTTTTAAGTGGTGGTTATAATCCTATCGAACATGTGCTCTTTGACCCGCTTTGTGGTTCTTTACATTATAGGATAGGCATTTTCGGTATCGTTGCAGGGCCAGGAAACATTAACTTGAGGAATTATACATTTGATTCCTCTGAAGAAGCACCAAGTCTAGGATGAGAAAGTTATCAAACTAAAGAACTCACTGTTGGGGGAGGAAGTCCCTCTCTCCCTCCCTCTCTTCCTCCTTCCTTCCCTCTCAGGAAGAGAATCCTTGTGAGTGGACAAAGGAGAACTTGGCTATGTTTGGCGTTTTTGTGTTTTGGGGGGCATCTTTGTAAAAATACAAAGTTTGTGTACACAGTTGTGGATGTAAAAACCAAGGCTTCTGAGGCTGCAACTGAAATACCACTTTTTCCTCTGGTTAGTACAGCTTGTCTTGTCCTGGTCTGGTTGAGGACTTAGAGGTTTTACTGAATCAGTGTCGCTGCTTGCCAATTCGAGCCGGATATTGGGGTGAGAATAAACTCATTTCCCCTCCATCCTGTCTAGCCTTTGTAGATATGCTGTCATAAACATAACCTGCTTTTCACACTGCACCTTAAACCTTTCTTAAAAGTCAAGTTGGCAGCTTTACATGATAATAAACAAAACCCTTGAGCTGCTGCCCAGCCTGGGGGTGCAGAGGAGCAGCCTGAGCTGGCCCCTCTCCTGGTCAGCTGTGTTGATTTAGTGCAGCTGACTTCTCCGGGCCTAAGCTTCTGCATCTGCAAAAGGGAGCCCACAGCTGTTCCTGACTGGTAGGTTTACTGTGAGGATTAGACAGGGCAATGCAAAGATAGCATTTGTAATGGAGATCAGCAAACAGAAGGCTGGCTATGGATACATGGTAGTTAGCTGCCACATTACACTTAAGACATTAAAGAAAATTTTGAAAAAATGCAGAAAAGCAGTTTCTTTACAAAAAATGTAATAATGTTGTATAAGGTTTAACATATTTAATAATAAGCATTTTGTGTGTGTGTGTGTGTGTGTGTGTGTGTGTGTGTGTCTGTATGTGTGTACATATTATTGGCCTAGATCAGTGGTGGCAAACCTATGGCATGTATGTTACTGTGTTTTTCTTTTGAGACAAAAGATGTTAATGTAGAGTTGTTTTTTCTAAACTAAAACCTCAGTATTCAGGTTTAATTGTGGTGTTGGCACCTTGTGATAAATAAGTGGGTTTTGTTTTGGGGGTGGTTTTTTTTTGGTACCAGGGATCGAACTCAGGACCTTGCACTTTCGAAGCAGGCAGCGGAAGCACTGAGCTAAATCCCCAGCCCAATAAGTGGGTTTTGGGTTGCACTTTGGCATTCAGTCTATAAAAGGTTCGCCATCACTGGCCTAGGTTGTTTTGGCCATGGAAAGAGATTGAATGTTAAACTAGGCCCTCCAGGATGGTCCACTACAGCCCACTTGCCCTCTCTATATTCCATGGTACTTAAAAGGTTAAACTTTTCCCACTTCATGTCGGGACTGTACAAGGACCATTGCTGAAATCATCAGGGTACCCTGACAGTAACTCTGCCTTTTTTTTTTTTTTTTTTTTTTGTGGTGCCAGGGATTGAACTTGTGACCTTGCGCTTGCGAGGCAGACGCCAGAACCACCGAGCTAAATCCCCAGCCCTATCTTTTATCTCCCTGACCTGCAACAGGTCTGTGCCTAGTTCCCTCATCACCACTTTCCTGGTGATCCACAAAGTCTAAAATTATCCTCCAAGTGGAAAAGCTGCCCAATCCCCCTCCAGGCTCTGGGCCCATTTCCTCCTCTTTGGCTATCTGGGTCATTAGGGATTGGTGGCCCCAAATCTTCTCACCTACCAGCACACGCCTCCTTGTCTGTCTTTCCATGCCTGCACTCAGGAAGCACAAAGGGGCAGAACAAAGCCAAGGACCATTTATTTCCCCAAGGACAGAAGCCAGGGGCAGGGCAGCTAGGGAAGGGATGGAGGAAAGAATAAAGCTAGTTTTGCAGGAGCTGGATCCAAAACATCCAAGCATGCCTGGACTTTGTCCCAGTGGGATCTCCCCACCTCCTGCCCTGCTATTAGAAGAGCTGGAACGATCTGAGTCCTCCAAGTAAGCAGGATCCATTAATCAGCTTTGTGAGTCAGGCATGGCCAGCACTGTGGGAGGCTGATGCAGGATGATTGCAAATTTAAGGCCAGCCGAGGCAATTTAGCAACTTAAGTACTGTCTCAAAAAATAAAAAGAGATCTGAGGGTGTAGTTCAGTCAGAAGGCCCTGGGTTCAATTCCTAGTAATGGAAAACAAAAAACAAAAACAGCTTTGTGATATTTAGGGCAGACTGGGAGAAGACTCCACAAGCCTCTGACTCATCAAATGGGCTCTCATGAGGAATCAATCCACTGTGTGAGCAGTTCTGTGGGAAATACAACCTCTGACACGCACCCTAAAAGCTAGGTGGGAAACAAATCAGTTCCTTTCCCCAGCAGCCTTTATCGAAGAGGTCAGTCTTCCAACGAAGACGGTACGTGAGGTGTGAGTGTCCTTCTGGCCACAAGGCACAAGGCTTCTCCAGAACTTTCTCTGCTGACACAGGGTTACCTGTAGCAGAGGAAAACGCTGTGCTCCCAGCAGTTCGCATTTTCTAGCCACTCTCAAGATGGCTGCATACTCCACCCCGTCTGTGAGCTCTGAGTAGTCTCACTCTTGCCTGCCACTACCAATATGGCTCCCCAACTCCTCCCGGGGCGGGGGCAAACACCGGAAGTGGGTGTGACAGGGACGGAAGCGGAGCGGGCTTCCAAATGATGATATTGGGGAGGGGGAAACGTAGGCTTCAGAGCGATGATCCCCCCACAAGAGGCGTCCGCCCGGCGGCGGGAGATTGAAGATAAGCTGAAGCAGGTGGGGTGGGACTGGGGAAGCTGGGGAGGAGATGAGGGAAAGGGGCCGAGAGCGGGGCTGGGACTTCTACTCGGAGAAGAGGCAGGGGTGGGACGGGGGCTCTCCCTGAGAAGAGATGGGTCTGGGGGCTAGGCCGTGGGCAAGGAAGCAGCTGTCTCCTTTAGCCTTAGGCTTCTGGTGATGTCCTCCCTTTCATTCCCCTCAGGAGGAGGAGACGCTGTCCTTTATCCGAGACAGCCTGGAGAAGAGCGACCAGCTCACCAAAAACATGGTGAGGAACCCGTCAGCTGGAAGGAGAGACGCCTCCGGTCCCAGAGCCGTGCGACCCACAGGCCCGGTGGCTAAGGCCGGGTTCTGGCGTGGGTGGTGAGGGTGGTAATGGAACTACTGTAGCAACAGCGTGCCTCTCTTACTTAGACCCCTTCATTGCGTTCCTGCCTCTCACTGAGGGTATTGTAGCCCCGGTGGTCTGGACTTTCAGCTTTCTGCCTAAGCTCTTCATTCTTCTTTCTCTCCGTAGGCAGATATTTACTGAGACTGACTAGGTGGGCTGGTACTGGTCATGTGCCATTGGCAATTCTAGTGATACTGGCACATTGGGATTACTAAGGGCAGCGGCTTTCACCCCAGGGACTTTAGGGGCAGAATGAGCTCTGAGGTCCCGCAGACCTGAGATCTAAACCTTGCCCTGCAGCTCACTTGCTGTGTGGCTCCTGACAGGTAATTCTGAGGATCGGTTAACTTGTCTGCTAAAAACAGAAACAGTGCTAGCCTCCCAGTGTGTCTTATATGAAGGACCTGTGAGCTAATGCATGTGAACACATCTTGCACAGTGCTTGGTGTACAATTGGTGCTCAATAAGTGAGTGTCCTTTTTTCCTAGGGGAGACTGGAAAAGCATGGATTTATAATTAGTGATGAAATCAAGTCCTAGTCACTCTAAGAGAGGAAGTTTTTGTTTTGTTGGGGTTTTTTGGTACTGAGGATCGAACTCAGGACCTTGTGCTGGCAAGGCAGGAGGCGGAACCAGTGAGCTAAATCCCTGCCTCAAGAGAGGGAGTTTTGAAGGTACCACCAATGCATTTCAGGGTACTCTGTATGAGACTTTCCTGTTTAGACTAGGAAAGCTTTGGAGAAAACAGAAACTAAGCTTTGGCTTCAAGGTTGGAAGGGATGGTATCCTGAGATGATCATTTTAGGAAGAACTAATTTGATACATGGCTTGGGTTCATATCGAATTTCAAGCAGTTTATCATGGACCACCTGTTATGTATAGGGCCCATGGTCCATGCTGGGGATACAGTAGTTGACAGGAAAACCCCGTCCTTTTCTGTGTGGAGATTACTGGCTTAAAAACAGAGGAAAGCTAGGAAGTGCCAAATGTCTCTGGGTGGGCAGAAGCGGTTCTGGGATATCTTGAGACCTGAGAGCAAGAAGCTTCCCTTCTCCAGGTGTCCATCCTGTCATCCTTTGAGAGCCGACTCATGAAGCTGGAGAACTCCATCATCCCTGTGCACAAGCAAACAGAGAATCTGCAACGATTGCAGGAGAACGTTGAGAAGACGCTATCCTGCCTGGACCATGTCATCAGCTACTACCATGTGGCTAGTGACACGGAGAAAATCATCAGGGAAGGGTGAGCTAGGCACAGAGGGTCATATTCTTAGTGCCTCCTGGACTAGTGCCCTAGGCCTGAGAAGAGGGGGTGGAATATATTTGAGCCTGAAGTTCCCTAGTGAGTTCTGTTCTTGCCGTTCCACATACCATACCCTTACTCCCTCTTCTTCATCCTCCATCCTCCCAGGTTGACCTGCTCCTTTTCCTTTCCAGCCCCACAGGTCGGCTGGAGGAGTACTTGGGAAGCATGGCTAAAATTCAGAAGGCTGTAGAATATTTCCAGGACAATAGCCCAGACAGCCCAGAGCTCAACAAAGTGGTAAGGGACTAGTGGAGTACTGTGAGAAGTTTGGGGACATCAGTCCCTGCCCTTTCTCATGGGGGACTCTGAATCAGCTAAAGAAGCATATAATAACCAGGCGTAGTGATTCACACCTGTAATCCCAACACTGGTAGAATGAGGCAGAGGATCACGAGTTCAAGTAGAATGGAGAAGGAAAATGCAAAAGACATGAAACTAAGAGTTTGCCGTAGAGGGCTCATTTTCTGTTTAAGCAAAAGCACTTTTCTCTTTAACATCTTCATTGAGATACATAATTTACATGCCATGAAATTAACCAATTTAGAGTGTAAAATGTAAGCATTTACAAAGCTGTCCAACCATCAACAGAATTAGTTTTGATCGTCTGAAAAAGAAACTCATACCTGATGACAATTGCTATCCCTCTCTTCCCTCCTCATCTGTCCCCCTCTGGACTAATCTCCATCTCTAAGATCTGCCTAGCCTAACCTTCTTATATAAATTGTGGCATTTAATAGGTGACCGTTTGCAACTTTCATGTAGCATAAAGTTTTTCAAGTTCATCTATGTTATAGCATATATTGGTGCTTCATTCCTGCTTATTGCCAAATAGTATGGATATGATACATTTTGTTTATCCATCTGTCTTGTGATAGACGTTGAATTGTTTCCACTGATGTAAATAGTGTTGCTATGAATCTTTGGGTATACGGCTTTTTGTTTGTTTTGTTCTGTTCTCTTTTTTTTTTCAGTTTTTGTTTTTTTTGGTGTCAGGCATTGAACTCAGGTCCTTGCGCTTGCACAGGAGGCGGCAAAACCACTGAGCTAAATCCCTGGCCCATATATATATATGTTTGTTTGTTTTGCTTTTTTTTTTTTGGTACCAGGGATTGAACTCGGGTCCTTGCGCTTGTGCAGCAGGCGGCGAAACCACTGAACTAAATCCCCAGCCCTCATAGATATATATTTTTAATTCTATGTTCTATGTTTAATTCTTTGTCCCTTACCAGATACACAATTTGTAAATATTTTCTCATTCTGTGTGTTGTTTTTCACTTTCCTGATGGTAGCATTTGGAGCATGAAAATTTTCCATCTGATATAGTCCATCTATTTTTTTCTTTTGCAAACCCCTAACAAGAAATATATTAACAATGCAAGTGAGAAAATAATCAGCCAATATTTATTAAGCAGCTACTTATTGTAAAATCCTGGGTTGTACCTATGGTTATCAATTTTGAGAGAACATAAGGTAGAGAAATCAAATCAGTGTTCCCCACCTCACACAGTGGTACCCATCTGTAATCCCAGCTGCTCAGGAGACTAAGGCAAGAAGATTCAAGACCACCCTGAGTGAGTTAGCAAGGCCCTGTCTCCAAATAAAATAAATAAGTAAAAAAGGGTAGGGATGTAGCTCAGTGATAGAATGCTTGCTTAGCAACCACAAGGCCCTGGGTTTAACCCCCCATGTTCCCCAACACCCTCAAAAACAAAGAAAGGACCCTGAAAAAAAAAAAAAAAGAAAAAAAAACCAAAGGCTTTCTGATGTTTCTTCTTTGGGTAGAAGGAAGAAAGGCAGTACAAGGCAGAGGCCCTGCATCAGAAAGGCAGAGCAAGGGCTGCAGAGCTCAATGCAGCAGCAGCAACAGCAAAACAACCTGCTTCCTTCTGCTGTGCCCACAGAAGCTTCTGTTTGAGAGGGGGAAGGAGTCACTGGAGTCTGAGTTCCGAAGCCTGATGACCCGGCATAGTAAGGTTGTCTCCCCTGTGCTCATCCTGGACCTCATCAGTGGTGATGAGGAGCTGGAGGTCCAGGAGGACGTGGCCCTGGAGCACCTGCCTGAAAGCGTGCTCCAGGATGTGGTCCGCATCTCCCTCTGGCTGGTGGAGTATGGCCGAAACCAAGGTAAGAAGGGTTTGGTTGGTCCTGTCTGATAGCAGGCTGGAGGGAACCAGAGCTTTGCCACTCCTCCTTTTATTCTTAATCCATCTGGATTTGATTGATGGATTGATGAATTGACTGATTTTTTTTTTTTTTTTTGGTACCAGGGATCGAACTCGGGTCCTTGCGCTTGCAAGGCAGGTGGTGGAACCACTGAGCTAAATCCCCGGCCCAATTGACTGATTTTTGAGACAGGGTCTCTCTATGTAGTCCAGGTTAACCTCCAGCCAATGGTAATCCTTCTGCCTCAGCCTCTGAGTGCCGGGATCACAGGCATGCACTACCACACCTAGGTGTTTTTTGTTGTTTTGTTTTTTGGGGGTTTTTTTTGGTACCAGGGATCGAACTTGGAACCTTGCACTTGTGAGGCAGGCAGTGGAACCACTGAGCTATATCCCCGGCCCGTTTTTTGTTTTTTTTTTAATAAAAGGAAGTTTAACAGTAAACAACATGAACAGTAATTTAACAGCTTTAATATTACATTGTGTGGCCAGGGATTTAGCTCAGTGGTGCCATCACCTGCCTCACAAGTGCAAGGTCCCCAGTTTGATCTCTGGTACCAAAAAAAAAAAAAATATTACATTGTGAAGTTAGCCAAATACAAGCTTTTCTTATACGTTTTTTTAGTTTTTATTTTTTGTTACTGGGGATCAAACTCAGGACCTTTCGCTTGCGCAGTAGGCAGCGAAACCACTGAGCTAAATCCCCGGCCCAAGCTTTTCTTTATGTCTCTTTTATGTTTACTTTTTTTTATTAGTTGTGAATTTTTCAGATTATGCAGAAAACCATAGGTGAAAAGTAAAAGTCCTTCCCTGATGCCTACCTACATCATAACCCAAAGATTAGCACTATTAAGATTTGTTTACCCCCCTCCAGAAAATCTGTATGCCACTGTGCATATGTGTGGCTCCTCCCCTCACTCCCAAATGTCTTACATTTATTTTTGCAATGTTTATACTTTTTTTTTTTCAGTACCAGGGATTGAACTCAGGACCAGATAGGCACAGTGCCACTGAGCTACACCCCCAGCCCTACATTGTAAACACTGTATAACAAGCTCTGTGTTTTAAACATTGTTCTGTAATTATTTTTTTTAACTTCACGATGTGCCTTGAGATGGTTCCATATCAGTACATACAGGCTGGCTTCATTTTTTTTTTACAACTGCGTGATACTCCATGGTATAGTAGTACTATTTCTTTTGCTAGTCTTAGGGTTTTAAAAAACATTTTGACTTAAACAAAAATTTTAGAAAATAGCTCCAGTGGCTATTCTGTTTTATACTCTTCAGCCCTCCACACTCTTCTCTCTGTTAGTGTGTGGGTGCGTGCTGTCTTATCTGTGATTATTCTCACCTTCTCAGGAAGCCTGGGGGGGAAGCTTTATGGCTGGGATGTATTTGACCACGTGAACAGGTCCATGTTTCAGGAGCTGTGCTGGTGGGCACCTTGGACCTGGTGGAGGATTTTCAGTGGTTCCCTGGGAAGCCAGGGCCGAGTGGAGAGCCTCCAGGGCCCTCAGCAGCGTCAGCCAGAGTCTCTACTTTTTTCCATTTCTTACATTGGGGTTTCTTGTAGGATATTTATTGGTAAATGCTGAAACGACCATGGCTTCCATCCATATCTTTTTCCTTGCTTGTATGCACTTTGAGATTTTCCAGTTTTCTGATATGGATAAGTAGTGCTACAGTAAACATACTTGTATGGATTGCTTTTTTTAAAAAAATTATTTAGGAAGTTCTTTAGGATATTTCAGTGGTGCAGTAATCAGACGCACCTTAACATAGTTGTGCTCTTGCCATTGCCAGCTCCTCCTCAGGTAGATAGATACCAATCAACAGACTCATTCACAGGCTGTTTGTTCTTCATTATTTTTATTACTCAATAGCACTATCATGTGTGATTTTTATTTTTTATTTGCTTTTTTTTTTTTGGTACCGGGGATTGCACTCTTTATTTGCATTTTTAATGGCTAATGGTATAATGTGTTTTACATTCATTGACATTTATTCTTTTTTTGCCTATATGTTTCTCATATCTTTTGGCCAAGTTAAATCTGGATATTAATTTTATATTTTTTTATTTAAAAAAATAGGCGTGATGCCACACGTGTAAAATCCGAGTACTCTGGGAGGCTGAGGCATGAGGATCCTTTGACCCCAGTAGTTTGAGGCCAGCCTGGGCAACACAGACCCTGTTTCAAAACAAACAAATTACAAAACAAAACAAAACAAAAAATTACCATTAAAAAGTTATAAGTAATTATAAGTTCTTGTGGGAGTAGTTTTCTCTCTGACTTTGCCTGACTTGAGATGAGGCCTCATGATGGCTGTGAGGCAGGACAGATGCTGGGAAGGGTGACCACACGGCCATCGTGGGCTCTCCTGCTGCCCTGTGGGGAGGCAGAGGCAGGGACCCTGGCTGCCATCTGCTTTTGCTGTCTCTCCTCAGATTTCATGAATGTCTACTACCAGATACGCTCCAGCCAGTTGGACCGCTCCATCAAGGGCCTAAAGGAGCATTTCCGGAAAAGCAGTTCTTCCTCTGGGGTTCCCTACTCCCCTGCTATCCCCAACAAGAGGAAGGACACACCCACGAAGAAGCCGATCAAGCGGCCAGGTGAGTCCCCAGCCTGCCCCATCTCAACACTGGCCAAAGAGTTGCCTGGGACCTGGATTGCTTTTTTCCACCCTGGGGTCAGTAGCAACAGACCCCTCCAGAGTCTGTCTTCATAGTAGCCCCAGCTGTAGGCACACAGGACAGAAAGCAGGTATCTGCCCACCCAGCAAGGTCCCGAAGAGGAAGGCTCTTCCTTCTACCTAACAGTCCAGTCTGGGGGTTACATAATGTCTTTGGAGTGGGGCTTGGGTCACAGACACACTCAGTCAACTCTCCTGAGGCAGGGCAATGGGGGTTGTTGGGCGGACCCACTTGCTGGGCTCCTTCCCTCCCTCCGTTGTGCTGTCAGGAGGCCAGGCATGGTGCTATAGCCAGAACAGTGAGATGGGTGGGCTGGCCCTTGAGCCTTCCCCTCTGAGCCGTGAAGTAGAAGGGAGGTTTGCACCTTCACAGTTGATTCAGAAAGGAAAGAAATCCTAGACCATCCTCTTGGAAGGACGTGAACTGGCTTCTGGGCTCTCACGAAAAGTTAGTGTCTTGTGGAAGTCAGTGAAGGGCATGGGGTGGGAGTTCCAGGCCAAGGATTATTGGTGTCCTTCCAGCAGCCTATTCTCTCCTCCCCTTCCCACATTCCCTGCAGCCTGTGCTCTAGGCAAACAGCGTCTGTATGTCAGCCATGGCTTAGCAAGCCTGGCTGTCTGCCTCCAGAGCTGCTGCCCTCGGCTCCAGGAGAGGCTGGATGTGTGGGTGGGGGATGCCGAGATAGCACCTGGAGAGAAGACCACCCTGGGCCTCTCAGCTGCTGCAGACACCTTCCAGAGTGTGGTCTATGGGTGCCCCTTCATGACAGGAGACTTTGTCTAGAACTCACCCTCACTCCCCTGCCCTGTTTCTCCAGTCCCTCAGAGAGTGAGGTATCTGTTCACATCCAACCAGGTCACCTCCTCCTCCTCAGGCCTTTACTTAGGGTTTGGGGACTTGGCGAGTGGAGGCCGCCCTCAGGGTATAAGTGAGTAGCAGAGCATGAGAGAACTGGGCCCGTGGCCCTGGCAGGAAATGCACTGTCTTCTTCCCCCAGAGTGGATATCTTGGCCACCTCCTAGAGAAGCTGCTGCAAACAGTGACTTTACTAACCCAGCCTGCTAGGCTGCAGCTGCCTGTGTGGCCAGCCAGTGCATCTCTGTGCCTTCATTGTTCGAGGAAGGAGCTGTCTCTGTGAGCCTGCCTGGCCGCCTGGGCCTCAGCCACTGTGCTCACTCCCACTTCTGCCTTGTTCTCTGACGGGCCCACTGGAAGCCCCAGGCCCTGTTTGTCCCACCCCAGGAATGCCCCCTGGCCAGCAGGGCCCTAGCTTTTTGGGAGAAAGGATCTGACCTCAGGGCTCACCGTGGACCTAATCTGCTCTTGGTGCAGAGACACAGAAGGCAAACTGATGACCAGGGAGGTAGCTCAGTGGTGCCATGCCTGCCCAGCAAGTGCAAAGTCCTGAGATCGAATCCCAGTTCCCGAGGGGAAAAAAAAGAGGAAAACTGGCTGTGAAGGCACCTGTGGGTTTTATAGGGTTTTGAGAGTTGACAGGAGCTAGTGGGCTTGGGACCAAGATCAGGACCAGGAGGTTAGGCTGCTGGGACATCTGCTCCGGGGCGGGCCTTGAGGAGAGGAGCAGGGAGCCCTCATCTGTGAGACCGACTTCAGCATTGCCCTGGTCGTCCCGTGCCTGGTGGGCTTGGTAGCTGCCAGGTCATCATTGATGCCCTCCAAGCCAGCATGCTGGTTGGCCCCTTGTTGGGGGGTGGTCCACCTGCTCCTTTGCTGTGCGGTAAGAATCTGATTCGCACATTAGCAAGGAACGAACTGAAGGAGACAACATGGGGGAGGCAGACGTAAGCCAGGCCAGCCAGGCTGGGTTATCAGTGGTTAATTTGCCACAGACAGAAAGATGAGCCAGCTGGGCCCTGCCCTGCTTCCCTAGCCTCAGGGGGAGCTGCCAGGATGCAGCAGCTGCTGCACTCAGACATACAGGGGAGGGGGTCTCCAGGAAAGGCTGACCTCTATACTGATTAAAATGTCACTCAGTAGAATTTTTATTTTTGACTTCTGGTGGATCTCTGTCCACCTTAATCGCCTCTCCCCCTCTAGCACACTTTTTGACTATGCAGCGGGACCTGTCTACTTGAATGCTATTTTGTGTCCCCACATTTTCTACCCCAAGATGTCTCATTCCCACAGAGGTGGCTGACCCTAGAGGCTGTGGGCGCAGTGGTTTTGTTTGTATTGTTTTCACTTGTGATACTAACTGTTCTTTTTTCCCCCGTGGCAAGAGCATGTGCACTCTCTTCCTGTTCTCCCTTCCGGTGCTGGCTTCTCTTTTTCTTAGCCCCTTCCTGGCTTTTCCATTTGCTCCCATTGTGCTATGGTGGCTTGAATGATTCCCCTGGTGTAGGAACAACTGCCTCTTGGTCTCAGAGCCTCCATTTGGGCCACAGCCCCCTGGGAAGCTCAGTCCTGTGTCACCAACCCACAGGGGCTGCTTGCCGTGGACTGCTATTTTCCCTGAGTCCCCACACTTAGCATGCTCAGGAAACTCTGTCTGGAGTTTGGAGCTGGTCTTCCAGGGCCCCCCAGGCTCTGCCAGCTGGCTCGTGCCCTCCAGGGTGTGAGAGCTTTGCTGTAGCTCCTCCGTCCATGCTTATTGAAATGCCACTCATAGAATGTTTTATTTTCAATTTCAGGTGGACTCTGTCTACCTTAATCTCAATCACCCCGCTAAAGTGAACACAAACCCAAAAGAGTGAGGGCCAACAATAGATGGGAGAACAAAATGTTTCCTTCTCTCCATTGTAGAGGTCTCCGGTGGCCCCTGGGCTGGGGCTGCTGGGAGAGGTGTAATGGGGCATGCTGACTGTTGGGTGGGTGCGGGCTGGGCAGGTGGAGGGCCGCTGCTGTTTTCTTTCACTCATTTCCTAGGTGTTCTTATCTCCTTTCTGTGTGGCTCTGGTGACAGGGACGATCCGTAAGGCTCAGAACCTTCTGAAACAGTATTCCCAGCATGGTCTAGATGGGAAAAAGGGGGGCTCTAACCTCATTCCTCTGGAAGGTAATCACCCCGTGTTCCTCCCATTCCCTCCTCCTCCACTGTGTGTCCACTCACTTGGCAGGGCAGAGCCTCCCCCAGGAGGGCCTTGGGAGAAACCCTGAGGGGGCAGGGTGGGAACAGCAAGTCCCTGATACTACTCAGGCCCCAGCAGGCACAGGTGTAAGTTTTGTGGCCCTTGGCCTGGTCCTGTCTGGCTGATGGCAGCTCTGCCCTCCCTGAGGCTTCCCACTTCCTTTCCCCATTTCTGTCCTTGTCTCCTGTGTGAACTCAGAGAAAGTTCTTTGTCTTGGGGCAGCCCTTTCACGCTGAGACCAGCAGTGGCAGGACCAAGCTGTCTGAGGTCTCCTGGCCACTCCCTTCTTTAGAAAGGGGATTGTGTACAGCAAGAGAACAGGTAGCCTGTAGGCCATGTCCCTCCCTCCCTCCTGTCAGGGAAGGGACAGCCAGGTTAGCTGCCCTGGTGGACCCTGCCCTCCTTCAAAAGGATCACCCTGGGAAGCAAAGCAAGGCTGTCGTGAGTTCCTCGGCGTGCCATTTCTCTCATGGGGGCTCTCCCCAAACACAGGCAGAGAGACCCCCTGAGGCCAAGCAGCAGACCCTCCTTGGTCAGCTTGCCTTTCTCTTAGCTCCCAGGCTCAAGGAAACAAGCAGCCCAGGATGGTCCTGGGCACTTGCTGCAAGTCAAGCTTGAAACGGCTGTTCCTATAGTGGTTTGAGGCAGAGCTTGGAGGGCTTGGAGCCCTTCCCAATGCCTCATCCCTATGCCCATCTCAAACCCCCTTCTGGAGATCAAGGGCTTCTTCCCCACACCCTGAGAGGCCACTGCCTAGCCCCCAGATAAATACTGCTTGTGTTTGTGCGGCCAACGTCTTGCTAGGTCACGAGCATGATTTCCGAGTTAAGCACCTGTCTGAGGCCCTGAACGACAAGCACGGGCCACTGCCCGGTGAGTACCGTTAGTCCAGCCCAAAGGCAGCTGCCGATTCTGCCTTTGCTGCAGTCCCCGGATGGTGTGCTTCTGCGTGCCCAGCAGGGCCTGCTCTGCTCCAAGGACGGGCCAGGCTACTTCCTCCGGTCAATTTGGGCACTAGGTCTCTGAGATGGGAGTGGAGGCCTGGCCCAGGGGAGAAGCTGCTGTTCACTGCTTGAAAAGCAGGCAGCAGGGAAGGCGGTGCCCTCGAGGGCAGAGAGCCTTGACATCTGACACCTCGGGACCTGCCCCTCAGCACATAGGACCAAGCAGTTCTGTGCTGGCCTTGTCTGCAGTGCCCGTGCCCTGGACTCCAAAAGCAGGATGCCATCTCCTCCCAGGGCAGCTGACAGCCGAGCTCTCCCTCCCGGGCACTCACTTACCTCTTCTTAGCTTCTGACCCCAGGCTGGGCAGCCTCATAGGCTGTGTGTGTGTATGTATTCCAGAAGGCCTGCTGGGCTGGCTTTCACAGACCCAGTGTTTTCTCAGATGGAGGACCACAGTCCTGCTTCCTTGAGGTGGGCAGTGCTACCAGCCCATCCCAGGCTGCTCTCCTCCCGGCACAGATGAGAATCCTCAGTCCTGGGGTCAAATATGCCTTATCCAGGAAGTTGAGCTAGGGCTCTTCCCTCCTTCTATCCTTCTTCCACCACCTCTAATACCTGATGCCCTGGAGACATAAATACTGCCTGTGCAGAACTGAAAATGAAGCCAGGGCAAAGGCTGGACTCAGCTCCTTATTTTCCCCCTGAACCTGGTGGGCCCACAGGTGTCTTTGTGGCTTCCTGCCAGAGCAGTTTACTCTACCTCTTCCCACCCACTGTCGGTCTGGGCTACAGGGCGGGAGCCAGGAGACCCATGCCCCTCCAGCAGGGTGAACAGCTGCCACCAGACCAGCAGCTCAGGAGCACTGCTGTCCCCACAGGGAGAGACGACATGCTGGACGTGGAGACTGATGCCTACATTCACTGTGTCAGTGCCTTCGTCAGGCTGGCCCAGAGCGAGTACCAGCTGCTGATGGACATCATCCCTGAGCATCATCAGAAGAAAACCTTTGATTCCTTGATACAGGTCCTGCCTGTCCCTCCCTGCCTGGGCTCTCTGTCCAGCAGCGCCAGCAAAGCTATCACTGTAGAATTCTGAGTGCGGAGCAGGCCTGTTATCTGATGCCCTCAACTCCAGCTACCATGTCATAGCCTGGGACCTGTCCTGGGAGGATGCTCAGTACTCACCTGTCCCCTCCACTGCTTGCCATAGCATGCTGGCTTCCCCTCATACCCCGTGAGATGCCTTTGGTGTCTCTGGGAGCCAGCTCTCTGTTCTGCCCCTCCTTGAGCTGGGTCCTGGTCTGTCTCCCAGGATGCACTGGATGGGCTGATGCTCGAGGGCGAGAACATTGTGTCCGCTGCCCGGAAGGCCATCATTCGCCATGACTTCTCCACGGTGCTCACAGTCTTCCCCATCCTGAGGCATCTCAAGCAGACCAAGCCTGAGTTTGACCAGGTGCTCCAGGTATGTGACACGGAGGCCCCTGGTGACACAGGCAGGAAGAATCCTGTTTTCGATGCATAGCCTCCTTCCTCATCCCCCACAGTCTTCCGAGTGAATGGTAGTAGCTTCTGCAGGGCCCTGGGGAAGTCAGGACACTCACAGGTGACTGAAAAAGAGCTAGTGGAGGGTCAGTCCCCTGGGCTGGGGCAGGGAAGTGGTGGGAAGGAGCTGGGCTCCACACACAGCCTGCTCCGGAGGGCAGTGGCTGGGGCTCTGGCTGGGGCTGCAGCACTGTGCTTCCTCAGGGCACAGCCGCCAGCACCAAGAACAAGCTGCCCGGCCTCATCACCTCCATGGAGACCATTGGAGCCAAAGCACTGGAGGACTTTGCAGACAACATCAAGGTATCTGCCCTGCCTTCCTCTGTCCATCAGGCCCAGTTACCTGGCTTTGGGGACTCTCAGAGAGCAGGCCTGCAAGAAGGGCAAGTTTGCTGTGTAGGGAAGCTGCTGTGCAGCTGGTCTCCTGTCGATTCCCCTTAGGCTCTCTCTTTCCCAGGCTCTGAGGCCCTGAGGCCAGAAGCTCCCGTCCTGCTGTCTTGCTTAGCTTGAGGGTGACGGGCATCCTAACACCCATCTGCCAGGAGGTGGCACCATGAATGGGCAGACTGGAGCATGGCGTGGGCCTGAGGCTGCCTTGGGGCCTGTTTGAGGGAACCAGGAGTTGTTTTTTTCCCCAGAATGATCCAGACAAGGAGTACAACATGCCCAAGGATGGCACCGTGCACGAGCTCACCAGCAATGTAGGTGCTACCTGAGGACCCCTGGGGAGGTGGGAGAAGGTGGGGTCCAGCCCAGGCACTGGGCCAGCACCCGTGGAGGGGAGCCAGCCTGGACCAGGGCCTCTTGGCCTTCATGAGCACTAGTGGCAGATGGACAGGAAAGTGTATAGAGTCTCTGGCAAACAGGACCTTCTGGGCAACCAGAGCCCACAGGTTAAAACGTGAAGTTTCCAGCCACTTTTCTCACTGCTCATGTCCCTGGCCCCTAACTTGCCCTGCTGGTCAGCTGGGTGCATGTAGAGGCCTGAGCCCTGCCCTGACCTTCCTGCTGGGCCGTGTCCTCCCTGCCAGGCCATCCTCTTCCTGCAGCAGCTTCTGGACTTCCAGGAGACAGCAGGCGCCATGCTGGCCTCCCAAGGTACTCAGTATGCCAACTGGCCCTGCCTACGCCCTACTGCTCCCTCTTGCCTGTGAACATGGGTTTGGCTCCCAGGAGGCACTACCCTCTGCTGGGTGAAGGGCTGGCGTGGTGAGGGGGTCTCCTAACCCGTGGCGTGGGATTGAGATGTGGCCTGTGGGGGGGACCATTGGGGCCATCCTGGGCTGAGCATCAGGAGAACAAGGGTCACTGCTGCTTCTGTGATCCTTCACCCTCTCCCTTGCTCCTTTGGCCATCCTTACTCTGGAGTGGGCACTGCCACCCTGAAGATGCTCTCTCAGCCCTGCCTTCCTTCCATGTTTCTCCACTGCCTCTTATGTCTACCTATTCTCCTGATCAGTTCCACAGCTTACCCTTGGAGGGCTGGCATCTCAGGGCCAGCTGGTTGTCCTCCCACTGGCCACCACCCTGGGACTAGAGCTTGGAAGGTTGGCATGGGAGGAGGAGCAGTCTTGGTCATTCCAAGCTGATTCCCCAGGCCCTCCCATCTGCCCTCATTTGGAGCCAAGGAGCCAAGGGGCTGCCTCTGGCCTGAGGTTCAGATTTCCACTTTCCGTGTGTTCCCTGGTCTTGAGAGGCCTTGTCCTGGTGTGTCCTGCTTCTGTATCTGGCTCTCATGGGGAGAGGTCTGCTTGACTTGGGTAACACAGCCGTTTCTAACCTGTTTTTTGAACTTGCATCTTTCTCCCTCCTCTTGTTTTTTTCATCCCCTCTGTGTGCACTGCCTTTCACTCCGTAGTTCTTGGGGACACATACAATATTCCTTTAGACCCCCGAGGTAAGCAGTGCGGCTCTGCAACCCCTTTCTCCCCCTCTGAAGCCCCACGGGTGAGGGTCCCTGGGGAGAGACTCAGGTCCTGTTGTGGGTCGGGTCAGAGGGGACGAGAATTCCTCCAGGGTGCTTCACCTCTCCAAGCTCCTGTCTTAGTCACCTTCTGTCTCAGCCTAGCCAGGCAGCACCCTGGATAGCCCACCAGGCTAACTTGGTCCCTCTCCCTTAGCCTTCTGAACAGGAGGCCCCTCTGTTCAGGAGGACCTAGTAGTGGGGTTGTGGAATGTGAGGGGAAGATGGAGAGGCGGTGGGACCCCATTCTAATACTGTGCTGTTGGCAGATGGGAAAGGGGGATCTTGTAGACAGCTGCCCAGTGTGGGTCAGGGGCTGGGGGTTGGGGGGCTAGTATCCTACTCCCGTCTCCCACCAGCCTTCCTACTGACATGGGCCAGCTTCTTAACCATACCACCTCACCATGATAGAAGGGTGGTCTTGGGTTCCAGCAAGAGTGTAGGGCAGCACTTCCTGTGGTAGGATGCAGCCTGAGGCTCAGCAGGCACCAGCTCTGGCTGAGCTCTCTGGGTCCTGTCTGCCCCAGGAAGCCCACAGGCCTCTCCCAGTGTTTCCTCCACTGCTCTTTGCGGAGAGGGAGGGGGGTGTTGGTCCCTGCCACTGCAATAGTTGAGCTTCTCCTCTCACAGAGACCAGTTCTTCGGCCACCAGCTACAGCTCTGAGTTTAGCAAGCGACTGCTGAGCACCTATATCTGTGAGTGTCTCTCGGGCAGAACCGGGGAAACCCTGCCTTTTCCCTCCCAGGAAAGCCCTTTTTGTGATCTCCAGGTATTCACAGGTTCCTCTCCCAACCTTGCCATAGCGACCTAAGCTCTAGTTTAGGGGCCAGTTGGATTGGGAAGGAGTCCTGATGCCCCAGAGTCAGGAGGGCAAGGACCCATGGACAGGAATCGGTAGTGGGTCCCATGGTGGGTTATTTGAGTCAGACTGGTAGACGTGGCCTCATCTTTCCCTATGCAGGTAAAGTCCTGGGCAACCTGCAGCTAAACTTGCTGAGTAAGTCCAAGGTGTATGAAGACCCAGCACTGAGCGCTATCTTCCTGCACAACAACTACAACTACATCCTCAAGTCCCTGGAGAAGTAAGTTGTCACAGGCATGGCTCTGCGCCTCACTTCCCCTGGGCCCTCCAGGGCTGGCTTTGTCCTCCACAGATTCCTATGTGCAAGGGCAGGAGGGGGCTTTTAGTCCTCTTAACCTTGACCCAAGGAGGCTGAATGTTGCCTCCTTAGAGCTGTGGAAGATTCAAGATGGACAAGGAGCCCCTCCTTCCTGGTGTTGCTGCCAAAGCCAGCAGCTTTCAGGCCCCAGGGGCCAAGTCTCTCCTTCTCTCTCCCCTGCCTGTGCCCAGATCTGAGTTGATCCAGCTGGTGGCTGTGACCCAGAAGACTGCTGAGCGCTCCTACCGGGAGCACATTGAGCAGCAGATCCAGACCTATCAGCGCAGGTGAGCAGCGCCCACCCTCCTACTGGGCCTGAGCTGACCTAGTCTCATCCCATCTCAGGCCCAGACAGTTTTCCTGCCCAGTGCTTGTGGGGTGGGGTTATCAACTGCTGCCCTGTGGACCCCAGCTTCCACATGGTTTGTAGAGGTTTTTTGGTGCTGCTAATAGAACCTAGGTCCTTGTACATGATGCTACGTATGGGCTCTACCACTGAGCTACACCCCAGCCTTTTATTTCTTTTTAAAATTTCTTTTGTTTCTTTTCTCCACTTTTTTCCTTTTAAATCAAATTCCTGGGGTGGAAAGAGGATGGATCTCCTCACTGCCTGGTCCCCTAGGGCCTGCACAGCCTCTTCAGAGTGGTGAAGAGGCACTGTCAGGCATGTGGGTAATGTTTAGTCCAAGAAGAGAGCAGGGTTTTGAGAGCCTTGAACTTGGCTGAACTTGCCCTCTCCTCCTACTCTCGTTGCTTCTTTGGACCTCTGTTCTCCTTGGCTTGTTTTTTCCCTTTGAGTTTCTCACTCTTCCCATCTGTCTGTCTTCTGCTCCCTCCCTTCTCATCTGTTTCTTCCTCTTAATTTGCTATGATATTGATGTGAAGTGTATTCAACTGCTCAATTTATTGAACACCCTCTGTTTTCTGTTCTTGATTTTTAAAGTGAGCAGCTGAAACATTTTCTGTTGCCAAGGAAAAGATCTCAGTTATTTTGCTTCATTGTGACCCAGATCAATTCTTACCAACCTCTCCCCCTAGTAGTAGATCAAGAGATAGTAAAACACAAAAGCAAGCCTGCATGGAGGAAGGCACAGCTGTCCCTCCCTAGCCTCATGCCTTTCTCCCTGCTGTCTGGCAGTTGGCTAAAGGTGACTGACTACATCTCAGAGAAGAATCTACCTGTGTTCCAGCCTGGAGTCAAGGTGGGCTAAAAGGCCTGGGCTGGGAATGGGTGCCGAGCCAATGTGATACTTTTTGCTAAATTTCTGGGTTAAAATGGACGAGCAGCCTTCTGGGATCAGAGAGCAAAGCATGCATGTGGCATAGGGGCAGCAAGAGAGAGGCCTGGGGCCCATGCTGTTTGGGGAAGGAGCAGAGAGTGGTTCTGCTGTGAGCAAAGCCCTCTATGCCTTCTCCCTGGCTCCCCTGATGCCCCAGCTTCGGGATAAGGAGCGGCAGATGATCAAGGAGCGTTTTAAGGTGAGTCAGGGCTGTCTTCCTTCCGCTGCTTGCTGCTGCCACTGTGGTGAGGTAGACCCAAAACTTTTGCCTCTGGTCTCTTCCCTTTCTACCTCTTGGATGGCCAGGGCTTCAATGATGGCCTTGAAGAATTGTGCAAGATCCAGAAGGCCTGGGCTATTCCAGACACAGAGCAGAGGGACAAGATTCGACAGGCCCAGAAAAACATTGTCAAGGAGACGTATGGGGCCTTTCTGCACAGGTGAGCCTCCCTCCCCTCCCCTTTCCGGCACTGCACTGCCCACTTGCCTGCTGGGCTGTGTTCTATTCCTGGAGGAAAAAAGGAGGGAGTGGGGTCAGGGATTTAGCTTAGTGGTTCTGTTGCCTGCCTTGCAAGTGCAAGGTCCTGAGTTCAATCCCTGGTACCAAAAAAAACCCAAAAAAAACAGGAGGGAGTGGCAGGGCTTGGCAGCAGAACCAGTGTCCTAGGCTTGGGACCATCACTCAGGGGCACCCCCATTCCATCTCTGAGACCTGTGGGAAGTGCCTTAGGTTAGGGGGGAGCTGAGGAGGGGTTAACCTTTCCCCTCCCTCTGACCACGGTGCCTGGTCAGGTACAGCAGCGTGCCCTTCACCAAGAACCCTGAGAAGTACATCAAGTACCGTGTGGAGCAGGTGGGCGACATGATCGATCGCCTTTTTGACACCTCTGCTTAAGCCTGCCAGTGTCTCTGCCTGGTTCCATCAGACTAGCCATGTCGTTGGACAGATAAACCAGTGTTAATTTGCCTCTGGGCTGGTGAGTTTGCAGTCCTGTGGGACAGAGACTTTTCTTCACTGCCCCATCCAAGAGCCCTGTCCCTGCCCTCTAGTCCTGGTATCTGCTTCTTCCCTGCACCCCATGTTCCCCTTCAAACCAGCACTTTCCCAGGATGCTGGAACCTTTCAAACCTTGAGTTTTATGTCTGAGCACAGCGAGCCAGGGCCATGTGATGCCTTGAGATAGGAGAGAAGGAAGCCAGAGGCCCATGCCTGGAGCTGCTTCATGTATCCCCCAGCTTGAGGGCAGACCTCCCCAGCCTAGTTCAGACCTAGAGATGGAAAACTGCCATCCAGCCAAGAAATGTGAGTGGGGCTCAGAGGAGCAGGCCACATCCTAGCCAGGGGGAGGACCTAGAAAAAGCAGTCAGGGTTAACTCCTTTCCTTGGATATAGTGCATTGTCCACAGACTCAAGCTCTGGGGATGTTCAGCCTCCCCAAAGTTCTCTAGGTGGCAAGGAGGAGTGCTCTCTGGTCTGTTCCCTGCAGAGTCCAGCATGCTGTAGGAAGCATGTGGAGAAGTTCTGACCCACCTCGGAGGCCAGCCACTCAGCTCCTGTCTCCCAGTCCCCAGTATCAGGACCTCCTGGCCCAGGGCCAGACAGTAGCAGTCACAGAAGGAGCAGTTAAGCTGTGTGTGTGTGCTTGGAGATTAGTGGACAATGGTGAGCAGTCCAGAAGCAAAGTAGGAGGTCAAGGCTGTGAAGTCAGACCCTGCCTACTTAGCACAAGCACGACAGCTGAGTTCAATGAAGGCTGACACTGGAGGTGCACTTGCACTTGGGTGAGGGGTTTATTTCCACTCTGCTCTGCTTGTATGCATGCAGAGCCAGAAACTCACAGTACTTGGGGCCCTGCAGGGTTAGGGGAGAGCCAGCTCTCCTTTCCCTCTTTCCAGAGACCCTTCTCTGGCCCTCTCTCCCAGCCGTGAGGTGCCACACTGCCTCCTATGGTCTGCCGGCCCTGGCCCTGCCCTGTTACAGCCTGGGCTGCCCACCGTGGGGAACAGCCTCACCAGGGGCTGGGTCAGACTTGCATGTTGCCCACATCCAGATTCCAACAAAGAGGAACTGGCTGCACACCACGCTGGCCACATATATGAGGAAGAAGGTGTGGTCAGCAGCCTCAGCCCAGCTCCTCGAGCCTTTTCCTCCTCTTGAGGATGCTGTGGGGGAAGAAGGAGGGAAAGGAGCTTTCTGCAGATCTCCTCCAACATACTCTTGCAGAGCAGGCCTCTAAGTCTCTATTAGCTTCTCAACTAATAAAAGTTTGGGTCTGGCCTGTCCTAAGCCACCTCCAGGAGAAGAAATACCCTCTTAGAGATCTCTGGGATTAATTCAGGGTCTGAGGTGACCTTGGCCTTTAGGGAGGCTAAGCTGGCTGGCTGTTCCAGACAGGCCTGCTTCATCCCAGGGAGGCCGCAGTGGATCCTGGGGACAGTAGATCCAGCCCAGTGAGTGCAGGTAGCTCCAATATACTCAGCCGCCCCCGAGCCTTGGCCCAGTCCTGCCGGTGCTGCCCTGTCAAACCTGCTCCAGGCCTCATTCTCACCCCCTTCCTGGAAGGGCCCTTTGCTCCTGCTCACCTTCAGAATTAGGCCCTGGGTTCTCCTGATCTCTCTGTTCCTCCCTTGGGACTGGGTTGGGGCTGCTTTTGTTCTTAAGGCTGTCCCGGGCCAGCAGCCCAGCCAGCAGCACCGTCTCCATGGTGCTGAGGAAGAGCAGCAGCAGCAGGACTGTGAAGTAGTAAACTGGAGGTGGGAAAGGACTTGAGGGACCAGGCCTGGCTGGGTTGCAGCTCACAGCTCGGGTGACAACAGGTCAGGGACAGGCTACATGGAACGGGAGGGAGCAGGGCTTACTGAGCAGTGGGTTGCAGGAAGAGGAGCTGGGCAGGGCCTGCACCAGGGAAGAGTGGAAGACGAGGTAGCCCAGCAGCAGTGTCACCTTGTAGGCAATGCGCTCAGTGGCCCGGAGGGGCAGCAGCCCCCCACACACATCAGCTAAGAGCAGCGCCTCTCCAGGTACCAGCAGCGATATGATGGACTCTAGTGCTGTGTTCTTCAGGCTCATCTGGAAGGGAAAAAGTTGAACCTTTCCCGGGATGTGGAGGGGGCGGGCAGCACGGGGATGGTCACGGCCCTGACTGTGCCCCCTCATTGCCCTCCATCAGCTTCTGCCAGCCCCTTCCCAGTTTGACTCACCATCACCTGGAAGCAGGGTACTGAATGCTGGGATGGGACTTGGATTTTCAAATCATAAACTACGTATTCTCTCTTGACACCCATAATCTCATTCTTTGTATGGGCCTGGAACTCCAGCTCCTTCACTGAAAGGGATGGGGATGAGAAGGGTGGACTAAGAAAGAGAGATCCCTGCCCCCAAATCTCAAGAGTAGGAACCCGAGCTTGAGCCCAGGGATGAAGCAGACTTCTTGTGGCTTCTGGGAGGCATACTTGGAGATAAAACTGGTCCATAAAGGGTTCCCCGAACCCTTCTCAGCACCTCACATTGTCTCCAGTTAAAAGAACAGCCTTGTCAGATTCATAAATGAGTTGTCATTGCAAACAAATGCACTTTGTGCTGCTTCATCCCAGGCACGTGGTCACCGACTCATCCACTGGCCCATCATCTCACAAGGGAGACATTAGGGATCCATGGAGTAGCCGTTGTCTTTTATGGAGGGGAGGGAGGTAATGGGAAGTACTTCTCTGCTGGTTTAGATGTCACCTGATGGGTTGGGGGATATTTATTGGGCAGCTGCCGCTTTAGTTGCCTCTGGGCTGGATGCAAGTAGCCCAGCAACCACAGTTTGGACCTGACTGTTGAGAGCACTCACTCGGGAGAGGAGACTGAAGCCGCCACACTGTGACCCTGGAGGTGGGCAGTGAGGCCACAGCTGAGAGTGAGGTGGGCAGGAGATGGGCTGATGTTTGAGTAGAGGTGCAGGGTGAAGAGTGTGCTGCCCTGGGCACCATTGAGTTCCCCTAAGCCTGAGCAAGACTGATCTGAGCACAGAGCCCAGGGTCTGACATGTGCTAGAGACCGGATGGTCCCCTCCCCTTGCCCTGTCAGCACCTGTGTTGCTGAAAGCATAGAAGCTGAGGCTGCAGTTGCTCTGGTCCCTGGGGAAGTGGAGGAGCTCAAAGTTGCAGGTGGTCTCTGTGGTGAGGGCCAGGTTAAGCACCACCTGGCCATCGTGGAATACTCGAACCTGAGGCATCGGGTCCTTCCAGTCCACCCAGAGCCTAGGAGGGGAGAGGTGCCCCAGTGAGAGGCCCGGCACCTTCTGGGACTGGGATGGAGGAGATACCTCCCCAAACTTCGCTGCTGTCAGTTCTGGCAGGGAAAGAGAAATGTGGAAAATACTTACCAAGACAGCCTCTGGTTTCTAGAGGGGAAAGGGGAGGAAGGCTGTGCATGGCAGGTGGGTTCCCGCCTCACTTACGCTTCCCGGATAGTGAGTTTGGGTGTCCAGAGTGAGTCCCAGGGCAGTGTGACTGCATGCCGTGGGTGTGCACTAGTGTTCCAGGCCAGGCGAGAGTCCAGCCAAGACTGGGAACACAAGGACACCACTGAGACCCCATTCTCCGCCTTACATGCCCCTAATGTCCACAGGATGGTGAGTGTCAGTGCTTCCAAGCTGGACTAGCTATGTGTTCCTGTCCCACCTCTCCCAGGATGGGAGCTCACCAGCCTTAGCATCAGCATAGAGGACAATGTATACCGCAGGATGTCCTGGGGAGGGGAGAAACACATGACCTCAGGGCTGGGCGCTGCGTGACAGGAGGAGGCAGGAGACCTTGGCAGTAGCCAGGACTGAGACCTGCCCCTCCCCAGCTTAGTGTTTGGGTCCTTTGCCCTCCTGCAGCCAGTCAGCACTTACCACATTGAATACGTTGGACACAAACACCTCCACTTGTACAAGCAGGGGTGTACTCCCGGTGCTCAGAATCTGGGTGGTGTCCTGAACCTCCAGGGGCAATTTGAGGTCAAGAAGAGATGGCTCCGCTGAGGAGTAGAGGTTGAGATTATCCTGTTGCCCTGGGGCTGGAATCCCAAACTTAAACTGTCCACCTACCAGTAGCTGACTCTCCGAAGCTGGACTTCTGGACCAAGGCCTGGATGGTGCCAACCCCGAGGAAGGCAAGGTGAAGTATTATCCACAGAGCCATCATCAGAGCTGCCCAGAGGGCTTGGAGGGAGCAGTGATGGAGTTTAAACTACAGCCTCTTATTTCAGTCACCTCTCTGTGGGTTGAGTCATTGGATGGAGACAGGTGTCCTATACAGTGACTCTGGGGCCTCAGATTTAGCATGCCCACCCACCCAGTTCTGCAAACACCTAAAGACAAAGCCCAGGGCCCAGCCCCACTCACTGTGCACCTGCCCGTGTCCCCGTCCCGCTCCATTTCCGCCACCTGGAACCCATTGCCCAGTCCAAAGCCTGCTGAGGGGCATGGAGTAAACTTGGAATCCCCACTTCTTTCTCCTTTGGTCTTTCCAGTCAAGGCCACGGGCCTCTTCTATGTTTCAGTAGCTGACAACAACCTGGCTAAGTATCCATGCCGTTGGCTAAAGTGCCCTCCACTCCGTGTGTGATGGGGATACCCATGAGAGTCTCTGCCTCTCTTTAGACCTTGATTTTATGTAAAGAGCCTTGGCTCAAGAACTCTGGGACTGATGCAAACCAAGGGACAGAGACCAGTCACGAACAGGGGCCATTCTTATCCTACTGCATTTTCAGCTTGCCTCAACCCAGGCTGGAGTAGTACTCACCAAGGGAACCACTTTCTTGGCCCCCAGCAGAAACAGATGCTGGAGACCTGATCCAGTCAAGCTGGATCCAGAGAAGGAAACACCAAGCTCAACAGTGGATGGGCACTGATCAGGCTGCCCAGAGTGGAAGAGGCCCCAGGGAGCTGGAAGGTGGCAAGGACTAGCCAGGAATTTGTACCTAAATGCAACTAGAACACCCATAGTGTTTGTGTCTGTCACCGACTGACTTTATTGAACCACTTAAATACTCTGCCTGCCTGTGTTGCACACACTGGCCGGTTCAGCAATCTACATACACCTGGTGCCTCCAACAGCCACATGTAAAGAGCGTTTGGTGATCCCTCACTCCCTAGTTGCGGCTAGGCATTTTTACTGTAAACCAGCTGCACTCAGTGTAGGCATTCCCTTTGCCCTAACCCACCAAAGTGGCTTCAGTTATCCATCAAGAACCCCCTTGTGAAGTCCCAGAGGCTTTTTCCCATGGGGCTTCATGACAATGTGAAATTTGTACACAGCCTGTGACCACGGGTGAAATGGTTTGTGCGTTTTATTAATAGATGAAACTCTCCCCTAGTCCCCCACCTCTGACTCTAACCCTTCAAACATCCAAGGTTACAGGTTAAGTGCCTTGAGGCCTGAGGTCACGTTAATAGGATCTTATTGGGGGCATTTTGGTTCCGAGATGGGCCAGGGACCTGGCTCGAGGCTGCTCAGCTGGGAAGAGCCAGGACTGGGACATGGGGCCCCGGTCACTTCGCTCACATGCGTCAGATCGGTGGACTCTCGCTCCAACCCACTGCCATCGTGGGTGCCCGGGGCCGCAACCCACACGCGGCCCGAGGCTCGGAGTGGGGTATGGCCCAGCAGGCCTGCGCAGACCTTGCGGAAGCCCTTGCGGAAGTGCTTGGAGACCAGCGCATAGACGATGGGGTTAACGCAGGAGTTGGCATATGAGACCAAGTGCGAGAGGATCCGCAGCGCGTAAGTGGCCCTTGTGAGCGGGAAGCGGCCGAACCACACGCAGAGAATAAGCGCGTGATGGGGCATCCAACAGAGGCAGAAGAGCACGGCCACAATGACGATCATGCGCGTCACCTTGCGCTTGCCGCGCCGAGCACCGGAGCCTACAGCCACCGGGTCCACAGAGCGCCAGAGGTAGCGCAGGGTGCGCGCGTAGGTCAGGCCGAGAACCAGCACCGGCAACAGGTAACTGAAGACGAAGGTGCAGAGGTCCATGGCGCGGCGGCGAGGCGCACTCCACGCTGGGTGGCACACCGTCAGGTTGGCCAGCTGCGACTGGGTGTAGTAGCTCAGGTAGGGCCCGGAGAACAGCAGCGCCAGACCCCAGATGAGCCCAATGGCCGCCAGTGCGTTTCGAGGCACGCGCAGCTCACGGGAGTGCAGCGGGTAGCGGATGGCCAGATACCTGGGGGCCAGGTTGGAAAGGAGACGTCAAGTGAACCGTGGGGGGGGGGTGCACTCCAGGTGAGCCGCTGCCCCTGCATCTCCCGGTCTACACCCGCTCTCAGGCAAGTCCCTGGCGAACGCAAGGTTACCCCGCAGCCACATCCAGCGCGCCCGACTCTCAGATGAGCCTAAAAGTAAAACGGGGTCTGGCAGGAAAGGCACTCATTTAGCTCATTCTTCTCCTCTCAGCACTGTGACCACAGATATACTCCACCTAGAAGGGCACCGCGAAGTCACTGAAGGCTAAAAGTTGGGAAACCGGTTAGGGGGCTGGAGGAGGCTGTGATTACCCACTAGTGACAGTGCCCGGGGAGGGAAAACTGGCGCCCGAGGCACTAGTCGGGCAAGGTGCGACGAGGAAATCCTAACGGAGGCTGGAGCCCGTGGGTCCCACCAGCGCGCGCGGAACCCACACGCTCCGGCTCCGTGGAGATGGGAGGCTATGCGGAGCGGGCGGTCTCACCTCGCCGGAGAGATCCAGAAGGCGGGGGCGGGGATACAGGGACCGGATTTCCTTCCCAGGACCCTTCCTAGAGTCCCGTCAAGCTTCCCCTGAGACCCTCGCTCGCGCTCTCAGGAGGATGCGCTCTGGCTCTGACCGGGAGGGAAACCCGAAGGCGCGCTCTCCTGCCCCAACCCCTGACCCTCCGCCTGGAGACGGGCAGCAGAGCGGGCTGAGAGTGACCCAGGGGCTTTGTGAGGACCCACATTCCACAGTCCGGTGACTGCGCCAAGCAGCCAAGCAATCGCGTGTGGCTTCGAGAGGAGCGCGGGGGGAGGGAGAGGCCCCGAGCTTAAAGGCAAAGACAGGAGGTTCGCTTCCCCCACGCGAAGGCGGCTAGCGACTCTGAGCGTGTTATGAGCGGTACCCTCCCCCATCCCAGCCTCAGAAAGGCTTTAAATTTAAATGAGATGACACACGTGAAAAGGCTGTGTACGAGAAAAGCTGCGCGTTGTCAGGCGCGGGTGGCGCTGGAGAGCCGAATGCTCCAGCCCGAGAGGCCCCGAGGACGCACCCACAGGGAGGCCACCACATCTCCATTCTTGGTCCTCTTTACCCTCCGCGCCCGCTTGCCTTCTACCGTCTCTGGTCCCTCTGCCGTCTTAGTGTCGTCTCCTGCCCTCTTCGTGTCCCTCCTGATCGCCGGGTCGCGCCTCCCTCTCCAGCCCCTGTCCGAGCGCCTGCTCACCTGTCCAGGGAGACGGTTACCAGCGTGAAGCTGCTGGCATGCATCGTGAGGAAGATGAGGAAATGCACGGCCTTGCAGAGCAGCGAGCCGAACACCCAGCCGTCCAGGGTGTAGATGGTGGCCTGGAAGGGCACGCAGCACACGATGAAGCACAGGTCGGCCACGCCCAGGTTGAAGATGAACAGGTTGGTGGTGCTGACGGCCTGGCCGCCGCGCAGCAGCACAGCGAGCACCAGCGCGTTGCCCACGGTGCCCACGAGGAAGATGAGCGCGAAGAACAGGGGCACGAGGACCGCCTCGGGCTGCCAGCCTCCCTCGCCGCCCTCCTGGCTTGCGTTTTCGGCCCCGGGGCCGCCCGAGGCGTTCATGGTGACACCAACACCAAGACTGCCTGGCTCCTGCTGCCGTCTGGGTCTTGGTTAGAGCGCAGCTTCCCGCCGCTACGGCCGCCCGCCTAAGCGCCCAGCCAAACTCCGCGAGGCTGCAGGCGCCGGAGCCGGGGTGCGCCGGGGTCAGGGGGAGGAGCGAGCAGCAGAGGGTGGGCTTGTTCCCGCCGCGGCCGGCTGCGCGGGGGCAGTGCTGCCGAGTGGCCCCACTCGCGTCCCGGCCGGGGCACCCACAGCCCACCCCAGGGCGGAGAGAGGCGCTCGTGCTTGTTACCGCGCTCTGGCCCCAGGATCCCTGCTGTTGAGTACTGAGTCGGAGAACTGGCTTCTCCCGGAGACCCTGGGTGGAGGAGGGACCAACCCGGGTTCAGCATGTGCGCCACGCCACAGGGAGTACCCACCGGGGACTCGCGCACCGTGCGCTTCCCTGCAGTCCGCCCCGCGCGCTGGCTGCGGTGCCCTAGAGAGCGCCACACTGATCTGCCCTCCATGGGGGGTGACGCTGAGTGGCGGGGACAGAAGGGTTTCCAGCACTGGGACGGCCGCCCTGCGCTCCACGCATCTGTCCATTTCTCAGTCCCTGGAGCACCAGGCTTCACAGCAACCTCGTCGAGCAGCCTGGTGGGTGGAGGGGAGGTGGGAAGGAATGTTTTGCAGGAACTTGATTAGCTTCGACTCACTCCTTTCTTTGGGCATCACCCCTCCGCTTAAATTCAGGAAATAGTTACTGAGCATCTATTGGGTGTCAGCCTATGTTTTTGGCGCCAGCCTCGGTTTCCCCATCTGTTATAGGGGATGGTTACATTTCCTTCTTAGAGGACTCTGAGAATGCAGTGAGATGTATGAGACAGGCCTGGAGCCGGCTCCTTAGATCTGAATAATGAAATCTTTTCTTTTTACCCCTTACTCTATTCCAATCTCTAAGAGGGGAAAGCAGGAAATTCAAAATATCAGAGTACCATGCACTAGAAACATTCTTCTGGATGGTGGTTAGGTTACAATATTTGTTAAATATTTCCTTCTGTATGGAGCATTTGTGACAAGGAATCATTACTACTTGTATAGGTTTTAACCTCCCAGTTCCCTGGGTCTGATAATCACCACCTTCTGCCACTGCATCTCCATTACTATTTCACCTTTTCTGTCCTGTTTCTTGAGTCCCAGTCAAGAATATTACCCCCCACTCCAAGTTCTCAGCCTTTCAGGAACTCAGTTACCAACTTTTCTTTATTTCTTCCCTTTTTTTTTTTTTTTTTGAGACCAGGTTTCACTATGTAGTTCAGGGTGGCATTCAACTCATTATGTAGCCTAGGCTGGCCCTGAATTCACAGCGGTCCTCCTGCCTCAGCCTCTGAGTGCTGGGATTGCAGGCATACAGGTATGGACTACCACACTGGGCCAGACTTTTCTTGCTAGGAAAATACTATTCACACCCCTGCCCTGCCTGCCTACTCATTGAACAGGAAGGTGTCAGCAGTTCACACTTACGAGCTGCTTACTATTCATTTATTCGGCAGATATTAAGCACCTACTGCTTGGCAGGTACTGTTCTGTGTCCTTAGGATACACCAGTAAGTGTTACAAAGATCAAGGACCTCTGTGAGCTTACTTTCTATAAGGAGAGAACAATCTAATAAGCATATTTTAGTTATTAATCTATTGCTAGTTTATAAGAACTTCTAGGAAAAGTAGATCAGGGTAAATAAATTCAGGCCATGACAATTGAGCTGTTTAAAATAGGGTGATCAGGCAGACCTCATTAAGAAGGTGACATTCAGAGCTGGGAATGTAGCTCAGTGGCGGACCACTTGCCTAGCATTCATGAGGCCTAGGTTCAATCCCCAGTGCTCCCCCCCCCAAAAAAAGTGACATTTAGCTGGGCACAGTGGTGCATGCCTGCAGTCCCAGCTACTCTGGAGGATGAGGGAGGAGGATTGTTTGAGCTCAGGAGTTCAAGGCCAGACTGCACAACACAGCAAGACTTGGTCTCTTAAAAATAAAAAAGTGATATTTGAACGAAGATAAGGAGGTGAGGGAGCTAGCCAAGCAGATATTTAAGGAAAGTGTATTACAGGTAGGAGGAAAGATCCTAAGGCAGGAGTATGTTTATGTCCCTAAAACAAGGAGGCTGGCATGCCCTGAGCAGAATGAGCAAGAAAGAAATTGGTAGGGGCCGGGGATTTAGCTCAGTGGTTTCGCCGCCTGCTATGCAAGCACAAAGACCCGAGTTTGATCCCCGGTACAAAAAAAAAAAAAAAAAAAAGAAAGAAAGAAATTGGCAGAAAAGGTGAGTAGGATTTTTTTTCCATTATAAGGATAGTGGGTTTAAGTATAGTAAAATAAGGTGGCATTGCAGAGTTTTGATGAGATAAACAATCTTTTTATTTTTGTGGTAACAGCTTTATTGAAATATAATTAACATATACCATTTGCCCATTTCAAGTACTCTTAGCGAAGTGTGACTGTGCACACCTGTGATCCCAGTACTCAGGAGGCTCAGGCAGGAGGATCGCCAAGAGTTTAAGGCCAGCCTGGGCTTCATAGTGAGTTCAGGACCAGCCTGAACTACAAAGGGAGACCCTGCCTCAAAAAAACCAAAAAAAAATTTTTTTTTTGGTACCAGGGATCAAACTTTGCACTTGCAAGGCAGGTCACAGAACCACTGAGCTAAATCCCCAGCCCAAAACACCAAAATATTTTTTTAAAATAAAGTATTCCTTTAATTTTTAGTATATTCAGAGTTGTGCAACAGTTACCACAATCAGTTCTAGAGTATTTCCCTCCCTTTCAAAAGAAACCCTTTTTCTTTAGTGGTCAGCCTGCAATCTCCTTCCTATTTTTATCCCTAACACTCTTCCCCATCCTAGCCAGCTATCAATCTACTTTCTGTCTCTATAGAATTGCCTATTCAGGGCATTTCATACTAATGGAATCATATAATAGTGCTCCTGTGAATATGTGAGGTATACAAATAACTCTTCTGGATCCTGCTTTACAATTCTTCTGGATAAATACTCAGAAGTGGAATTGCTAGATTACATGGTGATTCTTTTTTCTTTTTTCTTTTTTTGTTTTGGTACCGGGGATCAAACTTGGGTCCTTGCGCTTGTGCAGCAGGTGGCGAAACCACTGAGCTAAATCCCCGGCCCCCTTTTTTCTTTTTTTGAGACAGGGTCTTGCTATATAGTTCAGGCTGGCCTGGAACTCCAGAAATCCTCCTGCCTCAGCCTGCTAAGTGCTAGGATTACAGACATGCACTACCATGCCCGGCTCTACTTTTAATTGTTGCTAAACTGCCCTTCTGTATTCTGCAGTGACTCCATCATTTTACATTCCCACTAGTAGTGCACCGCAGTTCCAATTTCTCCACACATTGCACCACATTTTTTTTCCCATTTGTTTTGGGTAGTAGCCACCCTAGTGGGTGAGAGTGTTATCTCATTGTGGCTTTGATTTGCATGTCTCTAATGATTAGTGATGTTGAGTTTCATTCGTTCTGGTTTTTGTTTTGTTTTGTTTTGGGTACCGAGGATTGAACTCAGGACCTTGTGCTTGCAAGGCAGGCACTGGAACCACTGAGCTAAATCCCCGGCCCTTATTCGGTTTTTTTGTTTGTTTGTTTGTTTTTTTGGTACCGGGGATCGAACTCGGGTCCTTGCGCTTGTGCAGCAGGCGGCAAAACCACTGAGCTAAATCCCCGGCCCGCGTTTTTATTCTATGTATTGACAGAATCTTGCTACGTAGCCCACGCTGTCTTCTAAATGGCAATCCTTTTGGCCTGGTGTTGGGATTGGAGTGTGTGGCCCCCTCGCCTGGCAACATCCATTTTTATTGGTTATGCTCATTCCACAGATGAGGGAATAGATTTAGATGGAGATTAAATTATACGCTCAACTTTTCCCATGCAGTGCCGCCACACTGGAACAAGGATCTGAGTCTCAGCCTCTAGATCCAAGACTTCAGAGCCTGACTGCCCTATTGTAGGGCAATGACTCATTCTCTCATGCCTATACTTCTCTGTCCTTGGACTGGTCCCAAGCTACAGGTCCCAAGCAATGTCCCCACCAGGACATTGCTTGTTGTTTGCGCCATCGGTTCCCTGGCCGATTGCTTTCTCACTGTCAGCCCGAGAAAAGCGTAGAGGCGGACCCTTAAAGGGGGTTGCTTCGTAGAGACAAAACCCGGTCTCTCGACTCCGTGGAAAGGTACATACCAAAATATCCAGTCATTAGCGCCCCCCCCCCCTTCCTGATGTGTGGAACATGAGCCTGATCCCCTGTGCAGGGACATGGGAGGTGGGCGACCACTTCTGGTCCTCCTGCCCTTGCTGTACAGCAGCTGGGGATTGCCGGGGGCGGGGGGGGGGGAAGACTTCCACAGATTTTTTTTTTTTTTTTTTTTCCACAGATTTTAACCTCGCCGCCACAATTTGCCACTCAGAGACAAGCCCACGCGCAGGCGCGTTCCAACAAATGGCTCCGCCCGCTAGAAGCACAAAGGGCGGCGGAGTCCGCCCATATCCCATCAGCCTAGGTTGATAGGTCCCACTCTCTCCCGCCCCTGGTCATCTCGCCTCCTCTATCCCGTCCAGCTTTGCGGTGTAGGGGCAAGATGGCTGCTGAGAAGCAGGTCCCTGGTGGCGGCGGCGGAGGCGGTAGCGGTAGCGGTAGCAGCGGTGGAGGCGGTGGACGTGGTGCCGGAGAAGAAAATAAAGAAAATGAACGCCCCTCAGCCGGGCCGAAGGCAAACAAAGAATTTGGGGATAGCCTGAGTTTGGAGAGTATCCTAGAGTTGTGGCCTGACTCGTAGTGACTACGTGTCGATCTGGAGGGCTGGGGGCGGGAGAAGCGGCGGGCACTGGCACGTCCTAGACCGGAGCTGAGGACTGCAGTTTATTTTACCTTTAGGCACTCAAACGTCCAGGGGTCTGTCCCTCGATCGGTCTTTTCCCCGCATCCCCCTCGCCCTCCAGATCGGGCACGTTCTTTTCTTCCAGGTGGCATAGGGGTACCAGGCAGGTTTCTGCTCCCGTGCAGTTGCTCACTTGGAGGGCTCGTGTCAGCGTTGACACCCTCGCCGCCCGGCTGAGCTCCTTCCTTGGTGCCTCTGAGCCACTCAACGGAGAGAAGAAAATGCAATCTTGACATTTCAGGTTAAAACTCTTGTCTGACAGCTGTCTTAAACAGGCTGTTAAAATGGAGAGCTTGATGTTTTGGAAGTGGAGGTACAGATTGTCTTGAGAAAAAGCTTGCCTGTTTTGAATATAACTTATCATAGCTTGTTAGTATCATTTGTATAGTTTTCTTAGATCTATAGGCATTTTATCTTGTTGCAGCCTTTGGAAGAATCAGTTTGTAGTTTTCGTT